AAACGATCTAGATAGAAAAGGAGCGAACACTCCACTAACTGGATCAGAACCGTTCTGCTTTCCGAGCGGAAACCAGCTTAAAGGTTGATTCTCACTATACACTCCGTTTCCGTTCCATATCCGTTCCGTATACCTTGTTTAATCATGGAAACAGTACGGAAACGGAACGGATAATGTGCATTGTCCTATTCATTTACATGTTGTGCGCATAAATATAGTGAGAATCCACCTTAAAGCGGAACTCAAGAATCTGGAAGACCATCCATCCGTAACTTGGAATGGAAATCCTCCAACGATCTAAGACACTCGAAAATGTTTCTCAGAACTTACGACCGAGAAAAATCAAAGCTTTTCCGTGCCGTAAACTTTGATCTCGGAGATGGAGAGGAGAGCTGGCCTCTATGGAGTCGTCTCAGATACTGGGTTTTGTCAAAGCTCTGAGACTGTATAACTATAAGTAATAACTCAAGAAAGGGGAACATCCAATAGATCTGTTAAGTCGCGGGATTAACCCCCCCCCCCTCCTAATAGGCCATAATATCGCATTTTGCTGGTTGGGTATTGCTTATTATGTTTTTTGCTTATTATTTATTATTTGTCTTTCTGCAATGCGCGGTCCCGCTTATTTGGAATCTTCGTACGCATTATTATCTCAATGTTCAAATGTTGGAAAACTTGCAGTTCTATAATCGTAGTTGCATTTTTAAAGATGATGAAATTTCACCCGAATCCTATCAGTGATAATTTTATTATTCTGCTAATTTGGTCATAACAGTTGGGTTGGAACCCAACAGTTGGTGTTATAACAGCAAAATAAAGCACTAATTCACCACAATAATACACCAAAACACTTTACTTTTGTAGTGTTTCGCGCGTTTAGCTAACCATGTTAGCATCATCAGCAAATTATTAAATCTCAGTTTTAGCAGATTGTTTTCACTCTTCATCATCTGCTAATGGTTAGCGAAACGCGAGTCCGCTGCAAAAGTAAAGTGTTTTGGTGTTTTGTGAGTAATTGACTTATATATCTTTGATAAAGTTAATCTTGATTTTTGTGGTCATTAAGTAAGCGTAAAAAGTTTTAAAAAAATAGAACTTAAGAAAAAAATAGCCATAAGAAACTTCTCTTGATAATAAATAATTGATGATTAATTGATGTTCGTTTGTGTTTACGCATTAAATACCCAATTAAATAAATAACAAATATTTAATGCAATTCTTGTATTAAATATATAACCGAAAATTAGATATAGATATTATATGTGCGACGATTGTCCTTTTTCAATATAAGTTATGTTAAATTTTTAACGTTACATACCACTAATGAGTTTTTGCAAAATACATATTTATCCTGAATGCATAATTTTAGAAAAATGTGTATATGAACATTTTATTTTATGTCCGCTAATCTCTCTCTCACATGGTTTATTAACTTACATTATAGAAATTATATATTACATAATTTACTAAAAAAAGCAACATAAATTATAAGCACTAATAAAAACTTTGGGATAGGTCTTGTCGCAAATACCACAACACCACAACAGTATGATATATAATTCTGCCTGACCTTGACAAAAATAATATATATTTACCTTTTTTAAATTAGTAAACAATAAAAAATAAAAATATTGATAGTTATCATAATAATAGCCAAGTTCACACTTAAATGCTTAATAAAAAAAGCTATTAAGACTGAATATTCTTGTTAAAAAAGTTATTAAGATTGAATGTTTCAGCTACATCTCAAAACCGGTTCCCAATAGATCACCGAAGTTAAACGACGTTAGACACTTCGAATGGATGGATGGGTGTACGTACAAAAGTGTAACATCTATTGGCACACACTGCTCACTCATGCGGGTTCACGAGTAACAGTCGATTTAGACACTCGCCAAGTCGGTAGGCAATAGATCATTATATGGCCAAGGACCGCTGTTTGGATTCCGGTTAAACAAAGTAGGCCCCGTAGAATCTTAGCAGCAAAAAAAAAAGATGTTAAACATCACTTTGAACTTTGATTATCGTTAAATTAGATTATATTTTTTAAGGTGAGTCGAGGTTGTTGGAATTACATGTACATTTCCACATTTCCTTGGCAGTCTTCTTCACAGTCAATTGCAGTCGCTTAACAATAAAATTATATTTTGGCAGTACACGTACAGTTTTTTATCCAAGCGGGACACCCCTCGAGGTGGCTATTTGAGTACTACACAGCGACATGTACAGATCTATTGTGGCTCTCTTCTTATATCGAGGTTACATTCTCTACTCGAACCCTTTTCAAATAACATAATAACTGGAAAACTGAATCTCCCATGTAGCTTCTTTGCTAATAACTTATCATTACTTATTCCAAAATCCATCTGCAGTAACTGCAAATGGAAGAAAAAAAAAGAAACTGAGTTTCTTCTTCCATTTTACAAGATATGCACAAAACTTCGTCCGTCAATTACATCAGCTTTAAATGTCTAATGAGCATGCAATAAATCCGCGTAGGATGATTGCAAGCTACTTTTCATCTAGGCTCCTGAAATACGACACAAAAGCCCAAAGGCCTAAGGGTTCGGTCTTGGGACCGCTTTTGTGGATTTATGTACGATGGACTACTAACCTGGTACTTTCGGGAAATGTCAAATTAGTGGCGTATGCAGATGACGTGGCCGTGGTGATTGTTGCGAAGCATCTAGAAGATATTAATCTGGACTTCGACATCACCTTCCGGAGGATTAACCAGTGGAAGAGTGCAATGAAGCTGCAGCTGGCCAAACATAAGACAGAGGCAGTGCTCATCAACAGTACAAAGAAGGTTGAAACCATCAAACTGGAAGTCGGAGAGCAGGAGATCACATCACAGCCTTTCATTCGATATTTGGGAGTGATGCCTGGCTAAATTTTAAGCAGCAAGTGGAACATGTATGTACCAAAGCGTCAGTAGTTAGAGTTAGCCTATCACGGCTGATGCCGAATGTTGGAGGCCAGAAACAAATTAGGAGGTCACTGCTGTCGTCAGTAGTCACATCGGTACTGACTTATAGAATTTATATTTGGGCTGACGCCCTCAGAATACAAGGAACACGGAGAAGAATCGCATCAGTATATAGGCTGAGGGCCCTGAGAGTAGCTAGTGCCTTCTGCACGGTGTCTGAGGATGCGGTGTGCGTTATCGCTGGAAGCTTCTTATTGGAATTCTAGCCGAAGAAAGGCAAGTCCTTTATCGACGAAGAGGATCGTCAGCACTGAGCCCTGATGCACTCAGAAGAGGAGAGCGGCAGCATAGCATATGCCGATGGCAGGTACAGTAGGAGGCCGCAACAAAGGGTAGGTGGACGTACCGTCTTACTATCTCAGTTGAATGTTTGGCTGAATCGGAAAGATGGTGAGATCAACTACTACCTGACACAGATGAACTCCGGAACTCCGGACATGGTTGCTTCCGAGCAAATCTTCATCGTTTTATACTCGATGATTCCCCGGAGTGCCCGTCCTATCCAGGAGTTCCTGAAGACGCGGAGCACGTGTCCTTTGTGTGCGCACGTTTCAACTTAATGCTTAATCATCTGGAGATTGTCCTCGAATAGGCAATTCAACCAGAGACACTAATCGATGCGAAGCTTTCTTCAGAGCCATCCTGGAACGCGACCAATACTTTGGCAACGAGAGGAAATGAGCCAGCAGCAAGAACGGTTAGAGGAAGCATTTACTTCAATTAATGGAAGGAAGCGCCAATAGCTAGACCCTCTCCCTGTGAAGTAATGCTCAACGGCGGTTTCCGCGGGGACTGCAGAAGCCGGAGAAAGAGGAGGTTTTTAGTCGGTATTGAATCCTGAGTCCGACATACCAGGCCAATCATCTGGCTCTGAGATACGCAAATGTATTTTCTTACCTCTAAAAAAAGCATGCAATAAATTGTAACGTTTTTAGTTCGTTACATGTTTTTTTATATATAATATATGATGTGTGGCCTATCATCACCGGATTCCCTCTCGTTCAGGCCGGATAGTTTATTTGACACGTAATTTTTACGTTGCCTAGTCGCCAACCCTGTTATCGTTCGACACAACCCTGTTACTATTCTGTGGAGGCGCGCGCTGTCAACGTCGCTTCTGTCAACTCTCTCCGTGTTTAACCTCACTTTGTTTTGACGCTCTGCTTTATCCCAGCTTTTAGAAATGGTGATTATTTAAATCTTGCTGTATAATCTGAATCAGCTGCTATTTCAAAGCAACAGGTAAAGATGAGATATTATCGTTTTAGATTCGATATTATTATTGAATATTTTTAGGGTAGAGTTACGGATGTCCCAACTTGTATTTGTGTTTTGCTGACACGTTGGCGTCCCTTTTCTTTTGTCCTCCAGAATGTCACATGGAAGAAAGGACATGCTGTTTATTATTTATTGAGCCCGCGGAAGTATTTCGAGGTAGGTTCATTTTGTTTATTAGACGGTGTTTGATTTTAAACAAGAGTTTCGTGTTCTTAGGGTCTTACGGACGGACATTGTCTTACGGACAAGTGTCTAAGGTATGGACTATTTTTCAAGGTCCTAGTAGTGTTCTCCTGTGCCACTATCTTATGGACGGATGTCCCATGGACAAGTGTCCCCAGTAGGATTGATTTGTCTTACACATAGAGTGCCCCAGCGTGGATGTGGCTTGAGCCCCGTGCTGCTTCACCCCCATTTCTAAGCCTGGATCGCCGTTATCAGCTTACATTCAGTTTCTGTGGGTGAAGGCATCCATTTGTTTGGATGATGGGCGAAGGCATTCACTTTGGGTGCCTTCGTTTTGTACAGGAAGTGCTGTTTCATATGGAATGTGTCGTCCGCGTTTAGTCTCAAGATCTAATGGTGCAAGTACACACTCGAAAAGGCGACCCTATGCGCCACAAAGAATTAACGATTTGTACATTGTTATGGGTTAGGACCGTCTTTTTTTGTCACGTCTCGGGTCGCCTCGGCGAGTGTGTACTTCCAGCATAACGTTGTGCATGTGACTTACCGTTAGCGATTCTGCACTGAAAAAAAAATATAATTAATTTTACAAAAAAAATGACAAATTAGAGTATTTTTAATAGAAACTTGTAAAAATAAGAAATTTTTGCATAGTTTCACAGAAAATGTAATTTTGCAAAATAGTTTAATATTAAATGATTATTACTAAACGATATTATTTTCACAATGAGTTTTGTGAGTTTAAAAATTAAATTTAAATCAGAAATACAATCTTGTAGTAAAGTTGCATGTCTCTAGACATATTCACAAAACTTGTGTGAATTTACTGTAATATATTTAGTAAAAAATGATGCCAAGTCACGTGACTTCTTGTGAAGCTGATGCGTATTAAGTACCTAATCGATTGAAAACGTAGTTAGAGGAAAGACGAAGAACATTTTAATTTAAGCAGGTTTTTGAACAGGTGGGTATCTCTGTGCGTGGGTGATTAGCAGGGGTGGATGGGGAAGTGAAAATCGGCCCGGGAAATAACAGACAACCGGCCCAAATCCACAAAAATAAAATGACTGTTATTAACTAACATTGTTATTGTTGTTATAAGATAAATAAAATTCGTTCAAAGTGTTCTTTAAGCTTTTCCAATTGTTTGCATAACTAATGATTTCTTCCCGTTGAGTCCCGTTTTCCCATATGGCCTATCCACCCCTGGTGATTAGTGTTTTTATAATTTAAGGGTAAGTATATTATAATAATTTTTGATTTAACTTCAAGACAGCGAAAATTACTCGATTTGATATGGATTTGAACTGTGTAATATTCTTCCGATGTTTAGGTGAGATGAGTATAGCGACTCCACCCTTCGAGTCTGTTTCAGAATTTCTTTGGAACAATGTGCAGCCGTTCCTTAGGAGAGTACACTTCTCGCCTTTCATCCTTGTCTCGCTGATGCCAAGTATATCCTACTTTATGTTCTCCAACTCTAGCTCCAGCTCTGAAAATTTCTCATCCGTTCTCAATGTCTGTGCATTGTACGTTGCTATGTTCAGTATATGTTGGCAGCCTGGTGATTCTTAGCACCCCTGACTCGATTCCTTGTCCATCCGCTGCCTTGGTCGGGGATGTTCGAGCCGCCATATTCCTTTCAAGTATTGAAAGGAATATGGCATTTAAACGCCACGCTTGCTTTGCGGGTTGGCGAGTGGGTAAGGGATATTAGGAAGGAAATATTTGGTTTGATTAGGAACTGAGGCTGGGACAGTGGTTTCCCCCTTTTTTTGGAAGTGTATATATACTAATTATGTTTATATTATTATGTAGTTTTTGTAAATATAAAGCCATGTGTTTCGGAGGGCAAATTTAATAGAGGACCGAAGTAGAGAACTCTATACATCCATAGTCTCTAAGTTGGTAGTTGCCCTGTGTTGATTATATACCTTTTTCTTGTATACTTTTTTATTTTGTATCTAATGGCAATTTTGATCCTATTTTGGGTAGGCGCAGAATTCCAGTTAGATTCTTCTAGATAAGAAGAGAGTATATAAAAATTAGCCATACAGTGATTTTACAAACGTGTTGTAAAACTAAAGAACGGATGGTAAATTTACTACAATAATGTGTGGCAAGAAATAACCCTCAATATTGTTATTAAATTCACAAATTAATCTTTTCAATGTAGGAGGATTTTTTCTATAGTATATGTGTGCAGGCTTTGAGAATACTAGACAGTATACGAGAAAAAGAAGCTAGTATAAAACTGGAAAAATTGGGGCCTTTTACTACCGAATACAGACACAAAAATAGACATAGAAAGAGACTGGCAAGTCGGACTTTCAAGATAGAAACAATTGAATTTTGTTGTATTTTTGTCCTACAGTTTCTCTCAAATTTGTCTTGTAAGAATATTCTTATTGTAATCTTAGGTTTGTTTTTGTTTGCCGCGCAAAATTGTGTTCACTCTCTGTCGCCCGTGTCTGAACTCGGAGGTGAAGAAGTTTTCGAAAAAAATAATCAGTTATTAAGGTATAAACTTCGCTTTATAAGATAAAACTTGAATATAAACCAAAATTATTTTAATATTATAATTCGCTACTTCGCGTTACTCCGCGAAGAATAGATCAAAGAAAATTATTTTTTTTTTCTATAACAACCATTATCATGGTACATCGAATCAAATATGAACGAAATTGGTTCGACACTCTTTGATTATATTGCATTATTAGTTATTATTATTAACACGCACGGTATAATTAAAGAGAGCTATCTATAAATAGGTAATTAAACTAAGCGTTTTGCTATTGACACTGATATTATAAATTATGAACAAACATTTTTATATAAACCGGTTTTCTTGATCAAATTGAAGTTGGGTTGGATTTTGATGAATAATAATGAATAATGAATATACAATACACTCAGGGACATAATTTTCCAATTCATGGTTTGTAATAACTATAACTTTTAAACATAATTTTAAATAATTGCTCTAAATTTCTATGCGGGGAAAAGAATTGGCAGAATTTAAATAAAATCATCGAATTTACTTAATACTACTTGGCACTGTCGTCGATAAAATTAATGAAATAGGCAATTCGAAGTTTTAAAATTTTAAAACCTTCGTTCGCAGGCTATACCTAATTCCTCAGTGCTATTATTTACACAATGTAAAATGTGTGCGAAGATTTATACGCTACGCCCCATCGCCAAGTTGCATTACTTCATGGTCAAGATATTGGAACAAAGTTATCAAATTATTGTATTCTTATCCGTTAAATGATTCCGCTCATAGATATTCAATGAAATGTTTTTGATACGCGATTCTCACTATACAGGGTGAGTCTTAAATAAGTAGAAATATTTTCAGGACTGGTAGATCTCGATAAAAGAAACATATTTTCTCTTTACCGTTTTTGAAATAAGTCCAAAATAATCGAGTTATTTTACTTTCAAATTAAAAAAAAAATTATATTTTGCTTAAATTTTGAGAACCACTGGATCTTTTCTGGATTTTCTTTCTTGTAAATTTAATCTACTCACTATGTTGCCAAATTATCAAGGAATTATGTTTTTTTAACTAAAAACTAAAAAAAATTCTAAATTTTCTTTCAAAAAATTCCAAATTTTCAAAAAAAAATTTTATGCGAAAAAACCTCATAATCGTGTTTTCTGGGTCGAAATATACTACTCCTAAAAATATTTGCACTTATTTAAGACTAACCCTGTATATGCTATCAACACCATCACGTCCATTGCCAACCATCCGTAAATTGTCAACATTGAACATATTCACGACAATGACAACACGGTCGATGACATTTCCCATATAAATTGACAGCGATCTTCATTTCATAGTCATCGCTTACGCCGTTTTTTTCGTGACACACGGCCTTGAAGGACTGCCGTGAGACGGCCGTGACGCGCGAGTTAACGAGGGAAAAACTGATAGTGGCAGTTTTGCCACAGCTACCCATTCGGGGTAGATCTACCACTTCGTAAAACAATTTAACCCCGTCATCTCGTGAAACACCCGATAAAATTTTCATAAGTTTTAATTCTTACCATTATTTTTTCGTCTTAACTGTTTTTTAACTGAAAGTTTTCAAAATATACCTACTGCTTTTCATAGTTAATATTTAAAAGACTAATTAAGAGAAAAAAAAAAATAAAGATAATGTTGTCCATGAGTGTATATTTTTAAGAAATTAATAATTTGAATTTCTTAGACCCGTTTAGTTCACCACCGTTAAATATAACGGTGGTCAATAGACCAGATGGTTGAGCGTCCAAAGTATAAAGTCCAATTCGTGAACATGTGATCTTAAAGCAAGAAGTGTAAAGCTAATCGCCTCCAGACCATGTTCAAGGTTGTTGTTGTTGCTATTGGTGGCTCTCTTTTGAATCAGCTTTTTTGTTTTCTTTCAGTACCAGATTATTAATTCATTTGGTTTAAAACATATTATGTAATGATCAGGTTAGTCCACTTATATGCGAACTAATTCAGCAAACGAGAATTCCGTTATTCTAATTTTAGTTCATAATGTTAATACATAACATATAGGGTATTTTGGGAGGTAGGACAAAATATCGAGGCAGTACAGAATATCGAAGAGGATAGGAAGTTATTTAGAGTCAAATACCTTTTATAAAGTTTTTCGATTATGTCACAGCTATTATAATATATATTTTCTATTAATACTTTACTTGATAAGTTAGTTTTTAGGAAGATCTGAATATTAGGTACCACAATATCAATTAGATTGTTCAATAAAAAGCTAAAAACGTTGGACAATTTTAATTTGTTTTCGTATATATTTGGATAAAGATCCTGAATACAAGGACTGTAAGGATTTAACATTAGAACATATTATAGTATTAATTTTTGTTCCAATCTCAATATGGTATTATCTGATAAACGAATCAATGAATTTTATCAAGTTTCAATAGTTTTCATTTCTGAAATTTAATTCTTAATACAAAATAATATTTTTTAAAAAAGGCGTCCATTGATGCCAAAGAGACCTGGTTTATAAATACAAAAGGCAAAGCAATAAGACTCTAAGTCTCTGTCTCAGCATTTAATATGACAAAGTTAAATTGTTACACGTGTTTAAGTCATGATTGTAGAAAACCCTGTTTTTTAATTTCTAGAATGCTCTTGAGGCGCTGCTTATCCTGTGCTGAATTTCAAAGTGGATATTGGCCTTTTCCGAAATCAAATTGCCGAGATAATTGAATTTCTCTACATATTCCAATAGTTTCTTCTCCGATTTCTATAGCATTGTTGTGATCTTCCGGGGGGAGTGCACATGATTTTAGTTTTATTGATGTTCAGCTAAAGTCCCAAAGCCTCGTATGCCCATATATATGTGTTTAAAATTTCTTGCAATTTCTGTAACGTATTTGCAACTAGAGCACAGTCATCAGCGTATTGAAGTTCTGTGATGAATTTTGTACGTGTTTTTGCCCTGAGTCTTTTTATGTTGAACAGACCGCCGTCGAATCTGTATCTAATGCTCAAACCTCTCTCCTGGACAGCGTTGCCATAAATATATTGAATAGGAGAGGG